AGGTATCGAACTAGACTTCCATAATATCACGTTAAATTTCAATAGATCTCAACTGGTGTCAGTTAGCATAGTTTTTCAGTATAACTAAGTAGATATCATCCATAGTAAGAGTCAACTGTTTTATATTGATACACACATTAATTTTAAAATTTTAAATGTATGACACTTTGAAGAAAATATCTACATCAGGTAAAATCAGAATAAAAAAAACTCTGTTTAGTACTCCTTGTGTTGCCTTACCGCTTGTGACATGCCTTACCGAGGTTAACAGCAAAACAAAACATAAGGAAAACATTTTGTTCTAAATCTCTAAAAAAACAATGTCTATTATTAAGCCGATTTATAAACACGATAATGATGGATTTCGTAAATACCTCTTTGTTTACAAACGAACGGAAATCAGAGGAAAAATCGCTTCTTGTTTAACGACATGAACAAAATATATAAAAATACACATTTATGTACGTACAAACTCACCAATGTCTATACCCCGGAAGGGTTAGGTAGAGGTGTTTTAAACGGTAACATTTTACGCTTAAATATTAGTACTACCTAATAATACAGTCGGTAGTTTACGTGTGATGACGGATTGGGAATACGGAGTGTCACCACTCATATTCAAAGAGAAGAAAATCTTGTCACAAATACCTACCTGTCTAATCAGCGGGGTAAAGTAGTCCAAACCAAAATCTTATTTTTAAGGAAAGACGTATGACTAGCGGTCGACTATTAAAGGCTATAGTTGAAGGGGTAATAGATGGGAAATTTGAAAGTGGGTGGGAAGCGGAGATTGTGGTAGAAAATATTGCTTACACGGATTGATTGAGGAGTTCTGATCATGCTCGAGCAAGTCACTGTTGCATACCCGAATAAGAAATTAGATTTTAGAAACCCAAATGAAAAAACAGAATGACTTTCCAGTCCAGTAACAAATTTATGGTTTATTGTCTTAGCCGTAGCCCACGTAGCAACTGTCATTTAGTTGTGACGTAGACGCAAATAGTTAACTCTTTCCAAAAAACATCTAGAAAATGTTAACTTTGTAATGGTAGTGGTACTGGTAGTGTGTCTTCAATTCAATAAAGTATCGGTGGTTTTAGGAAAACACCATATTTTTCTGATTTATTTAATTTGATATTGACGCTTTCTATGACCATTTATGATTTTATAAATCTTCTAATTCTAATCAAATTATAAATCTAACAACTTCTTTCCACTTTTTGTAATCCTTATCCATCTATTAGTTCTTTCAACAAATTTAAAGAAGAAGAAAGAAAGAGAGAAAGAGATAAGAAATTGTGAAGAAATTCAATAGTCAGGTACCGATATCGTTATTTTCAAATTCAACACAAGTCATTTTATTATTAATTATGTGTTTATTTTTATGGCCTTTACACACACACACACACACACACACACACACACACACATACACACAAATATACCTATATGTACATAATATATATAACGAAGTTGAAAATATTTGTAAAGTCTAAATACATTAAGGAGCTGTTTAGGTACATCACGCTAATATCAGTAAGAGTGGGTAAGTAAAAAGCACTGGGCCTTATAATGTTATGATGTATATTATGTAGGTAAGTATATTAAATAATTATTATTAAATTATATATTAAATTTTATTACCATAAAAAGGTTATAGTGAGCCAACCTTAAAAAAAAAAGCCATAAGCTGTTGCGGTTTTTTTAGAACTTTAAAATGGAAACAATTCAGGCAGGGCACGTAACAGGGACGTCTCCGTCCCTACGAATGGCGCACCTGTTAGACCGGCACCACCTGAACCACGTTGGGCGCTCAAGCGTTTAGTCCCGATCTAAACGCTCCTCCTGGAAGCCGCCATCGTACAGGCCTGGGCCCCTGCGCCGGACCGGCATGTTGACTTCGATGCTGAGGCATAGTGTTTCCGGAAGGCCATGACCCGCGTCTGTGATGCGGCGATGCCTAGGGTTCAGCCCAATATTGCTAGGCGCCAGGTCTACTGGTGGCCCAGCCTGCGTGACCGCGCGCCGTAGTGGTCCAGGTTACGCAGAAGGCGTCGCCCCGAAGATGCTGCAACGAGAGAGGCGGAGCTGTTAGCGGAATACAGGGTTGCCAAGAAGACCCTTCAGGCAGCGATAAAGCGGGCCAAGAGTGAGGCCCTCCGCGAGATGCTGGAGATGCTGGAGCGGGATCCGTGGGGACGCCGCTACCGTATGGTTAGGGGCACGATGCGCCCATGGGCTCCGCCGCTCACTGCGTCTTTAGCCAGAGCTGCTTCAGGGGGTCGTAGGCTCCCTGTTTCCATCGCGAGTGGTGGAGCATATTCCAATACAGATGGCTTCGCCTCCAGCGCTTGTGGCGCCTATCGTGGATGACGACGACGTGCCTGAGGCAGAACTAAGGGTGGTGGTGCTACGGCTTAAAGCTAAAAACACCGCCCCGGGACCCCACGGCATCCCAGGCTGAGTGTGGATCCTGGCCTTAGATGACGAGGCTCTCGAGCCCCGTCTACGAGGGTTCTTCAGCGCATGCTTCGAGCGGGGGCGGGTTTGCGAAATTGTAGGAGACGAGGAAACTGGTCCTAATCCCAAAGGAGGGGCGCCCGGCGGACTCACCATCCACCTACCGGCCCATAGTGTTGCTTGGCGAGGTGTGCAAACTCTTTGAAAGAGTGATTGCAAGACGCCTCGTCAAGCAACTCGTCATGGTGGGCCGGATCTGGCGGAGAACAAGTACGGTTTCCGTCAGGGGCGCTCCACCAAGGATGCGATCGAGCGAAGTGGTATTGGCGGTGTCCTTGGACATGTGCCAGCAACGTCGAACTACTGCGACGACCGCACATCAGGATCATAAGGGGGTTCCGCACGATCTCTCATACCGACTGACGCAGGTGATCACTGAGAAATGATGTTTCGGGGATCACCTGTGTCTGATCCGCAAGGAGCCAACGCCTGAGTGCCGCTACTGCGATGGTTGGACTGTGGACACGCCGTGGACGCAGAATGCCCGGCGTGGGTGGAGCAGAGGCAAACCCTCATGTTATGCTTGCGAAAGAGATGGTGGAGAGGGACCGGGAGAGGTTTAGAACTCTCCCGGCCCGCCGGACTCGGGAACGAGCCAGATACCGCAGACGACTCAGGCGCCGGAGCCAAAGGAGGAGCAAAACGACCTCCGTTCTCCATAAGCGCAGGCCTGGGGGTGACAGGGGAGGCCATCTGTCACCTTAGAAAGAAAAAGGGCACTTAACGGAATCTCTCAAAAGGATTAATTTGCACCCGTTTTTACAACGTTTTTCATTGATACTTCGCTTCGATGAATGAGCTGTTTAATACGGAAATAGTTTTCAAATCCGACTAGTGGTTCCATAGCTTGTACAATCAAACAAACAAACAAACTCTTTAGCTTATAATATTTAAATAGTTAAAAAAACACAAAAATACTTCAGTTTATGTTACTTACACAATTTTAATGCCTTTTGATATTTGTAACAGTTTATTGGATTTTAGACATTGCTAAAATTGTTATATGTTTGTTTTATTAAAATTCTTTAACAAATCTTCGCGAAACGCAAAGGCCTGAAGTTCTTGATAATTTATCACTTTGCGACCACTTAACAAAATCCGTCGTCATATCGTTAAAATTTCAATAGAGTTTGTTGCTAACAAGCCTTTCTTAGTAAAATGTTTCTGTTTAAAATTTTAATATTTGAACATACAGAAGCAAATCTGTGAGCAACGCCACCGGGCAAAATGTTCGTATAAATAATGAGAGACAGGCATCCACGTTGAAGACGGAATACCGGTAAAGTTATACTCCCACCAGACACGATTTCTCTCATAATATTATTTGCTACTATGAGTACGTGACTCGAATTTCAGTAGCTACCTGCTCATGACGATATGAAATTTGTTCACCACAGAAAACTTGCTTATTTACCTTAGGAATTGCAATGCAACTTATGAAACATTCGGCCGTATTTTCGCTCTTGTTTATTATAACAACCTTTATTTGTAGTATATAGTATATCTTTATTTACTTTTTTTATATAATTAAATAATATATTACATGTGTGGTTACAAAACTGAGTCCCTGGTTTCAATGCAAAATTCAAACAAGAAAGTAGGTTATTTACTCTGTGCATGTACCTTTGGTAACTACATGTGTGTGTCTATATCCACACATAAAATATGTAGTACTGAATAAAATGTAGCTTTCTACTAAAACAGTACAGTACGGTATAAAAAGCGGTGACTTTCACGTTTGTTTAATTTTAATCAAGTGCTAGGGTAGCAATTTACGATCATATTGGTTGGCAATATAAAGTAATTTTGGGCGTGGTGGGCCTTATCTATCTACACATTTTATATTGTGGTGGCATAAAAATATTGTCATTCCCTGTCAAAGACCTTGACGGTCGGAATTAAAAGAGCTTTTTCCTGTAGAAGAAAATTTTCATGTAGTTATGAGGGTATTAAAGTTAATGGAGCCCTCCGCACCGACGTCTACCTCAGCGAGTTTATGAGTTCATAGGCAGGGTATCTCGGTGGCAACGTTTTATTTGTGAAATATTTCCATTTCGAAAGCTTCTACGCAGATTATTTTTCACAAAAAAAAAATAAGCTGCTTTTCTTACGTTTGTACAAATTTCGTTGAGTTTTCTCAAAAAAAGTGTGTGAACTTTATTCTTGTTCATTGTAGCAGAGAAATAAAGTAAGACATTAATTAGGCTCAGTGTTTTAATCTCAGCTGTGAAAATAAGAAGTACACACAGTGCTGTGTGCATTTTAATGAATTTTTGTTTTTCTATTATTTATAAGTGGTTCCAGTTTTATTTAGTAGTAAAACTGGAACCACTGCTACTGCTGCTGCTACTGCACAGTGCTAGAAATTACAATTTTTCCAAATCGAAAAATACGGATGCTCAGAATGATGATCCATTACTACTTAATGGTGAGGGTTTTTCAAACGGACTGGCAAATGAGTCGGCATTTGCGGAGCGACGATGGTAATGTCAGCCAGCCAGTAAATTTTCCAGATAAGCGCTGTTCTGACGTCCCGGCCAAGCTCCGCTCGCTTATTTCATTAGTTATTTGCTTTGACTTCAACTCTTAGTTGACGAAATAAAAGTCGACAATTTCTCGAATTACTTGCGTAGTTATCATTATATACGGTAGATACATACATACCTAGTGGTTAGCGATCCTTACTGCAAAACCAAAATTCTTCGGTTCAATTCCCACCCAGGACAATAATTTTGTGCTGAACATACTTTTCTTTTGGGTGAAAATCCCTTCACTTCTCCGACTCCTAGGGGACGCAAACAAGAGTATCTGGTGTTTCCACTAAAACCCACCACGACGGACAGCCCTAGGCGCCCTACTCTGGTAAGGGCCCTGAACATGTGATTTCGGGTAACCCCCCCGTATCGACATCACATCTTACTGGGTCAGTACAGACTCTGCCTAGTTTGGATCAGACGGCCATGTATGAGATAGAATAATATGAAAATTAATAAATATAGGAATTAAAATATATTTTTTTTTTTAAATCGGTGTTTTATAAATCTACAACTAAGTTATTTTCATGAAAAAGGGACATGAGTGTAAGGTAAAATCACTAAAAAGACTACAACTAGTATCCCTCTTGCGGCGTCGCCAATACACACGTGTAATGAAGTGAATACCTAATTATTTCGGTTGACTTAAGCCTTCAGTCAATAACTGTGCTTTGAGCTTTTATCGTTTCACAACACTCGTTCAAGTTGAACGTTGAATGCCAAGTTGTTCTTAAATGATTGATGGATTTTGCTTTAAGAGTTTCCTCATGAGCGCAAACTAATTGCATTTTTACTTTTCTCTCTAAGAGCTTTTGTTCAAGAACTTGAACACCAGCTGTTGTTTTAATATGAAAATAATAAATATTGTATTCTAATTATCCAAGGGCGGGGACCTGGTGATCTGGTGGACAAGCATATGCCTATATCAGACACCAGCTCCTCACATATACAGAAATGTATGTAACCACTACCCTAAATATAATTGTACCATTAAGTTAAAATGTATATTGTGAGGAGCAATAAACTTTCTTATTATTATTACTAAAGTGTTTTGTACATTATACTAAGGTGTAAAAAGTATTGTGTATTATTCAGCTGTTTTTCTCCTCATTCTAGTTGATTAATTTGTAGTTTATCTAAGTTTCGCCGAGATTTCCGATTTGGTCCCTCGGTGGTGTAAATTGTGCTGGAAATCCGAAACGGCATCGTTAGTTCTGCAAGGAGGTTTCCCCTGGGTCAGGTCGGGGAGGGGACGAGGTAACCTTCATAAATCTTTTCCTCGTAGCTTCCCGCAACTAACAAGCCGGTGGCGCACGCCGCGCGCCGGGACGGTGCGGCGCGGATCTAACCCTACCGTTACTAAATAACCGTGAAAACTTTCATAATAACACCACTTTAGGCAGATTAAAATACCTAACTGATCATATTTCCATATTAATCATATAGTGCCTAAAGGAGGGTCGATGTTATGTACGTGCTAGTATTAATTTAATAATCTAACGGACGTCTCGCCACGATCTACTCCTTTATAAATCAGTTTTATGGAGGGCCTTCACCCTGGCTTAAAACTATTAGTTCTATAGATGGGTGTGGTGCGTTTATTCAGAAAAGGAATTCGTATTAATTACCTCCATTTTTTTTCATTCTCTTGTAATAGCTTTGAACTGGAACTGTATCAGACGTAGTAAAACTATGTACTAGCCATAATTATGGCTTAAAAGACTTTAGACTTATCTTATTGGTTTAAGAATTTAAATATTTCCATTACGAAAATCACATTTAAACAACTTGTGATTGGGAAATCTTATCACTTATTTTCACGAGTTTTACTCACTAGATAGTGAACTTGGATTCATATGACATAATACTTATAACTATCCTACCGACTTATTTATGAGGATTTATATTAGGTAGCAGAAGTCAATAAGAGAATGCCGAAGTAAGATTAACAAATATCTGTGAAAGAAAAAAACTGTATTTAATTAGTATTTAAACATTTACTAAATACAAACAATCGAACCCGATTCCCACCCTGGAAAAATAATTGTGTGATGAGCAATTGATATCTGGATCTAATATTCATAATAACTATGTATTTATAAGTATTTTTATCACCAGCCTGGTTACCATAGAAAGGCGCTGCCTAGTTGCGAATCAGACTGCCGTGTGTGAGATGTGTGAAGTTATTATTATTTGCTTCCAAACATGCCGTTTACACTTAGTTAAAAAGACTTAGTAATGTAAAATGTAGTTTGATTGATATATCCACGGTAAAATAGTTTCTCACTAGGTTTTGTCACCTCACGACACGTTCTCGAGTATTGTGGATTAGTTCCTAATATCGCTAATCTCGTGCCAGCTCAAACATCATCCGTATAAACATCCAATAAAGTTTGTTTTGGTGTAAAATAGAACAAATAAAATAGAACCTATTCAGTTGATAATTTGGTAAAATATTTATTAATCTGTCACCGGATGCTGTCGTTTGGTTAAGAAGTTTTGTTGCAATGTGTTTCAGCTATCTAATGAAATGGATTTCTATAGAATATGCTATATTCTTCTTTAATTGCATCTTGCATTTATTAGACACTTTGTACAAATTCTTAAAAGTGACATGCCCGATTTGCTGTAATAATACTATAAATCCATAACATGGCGGCAAATTTCTTGACAGATATTAATGAAATATTACTTGAACGTAATCAATCACTATGGGCTTGAGCGAAATATTTAGAAAAATAAAACTTCACATTCCTAACTTTTCTTTTTGCGCTTATGAATAAACTTTATTTTACGGATTGGGAACAACATGATACTTTCAGATCCTTTCATAAAAGTTTGAAGTTCAAAGTTCAATTCTCACTTGAATGCTTTAGTATTTATGAGAATTTTGATTAAATATTTTTTTTGTATTGTTTCAGCACCGATGGCGGAGCGTTTGCGCGCTAGGGACGGGAGGTTTTGCTCTGTTGTACTGGCGCCTACGACTAGCAGGCGCACCTACGGCTTTCGCAGCCGCAGATAACCCCGCCTCGCGAGATCCCTCTATTCTTACTCGCATCTATACTTTCGCTTATCTCCCTGTCTTCAATTTCTTCCTCCTTTTGTACCCATTTCACCTAAGCTTCGATTGGTCGATGGATTCGATACCAAGAATAACGAGCTTATTCGATGCAAGAAATATTGTCACCGCCATGTTCTACGCCACTATTTCAAAAGTAACTTGGCGAACATTAATGAACGAATTTAAAAAGCACCAGGACAATTTCGTTCGAGATGCAAAGTATTACAAAAAACAAAATTGTAAAATTAAGCACAAATGGAATTACAACTGCAAACAGTATAATAGAGGACAAGACTGTTACGAAAGGAAAAACTATCATGCACCGCACAAAGAGAATGTATCATCTAAAAAGCTATTGTGCCCGTGCACTGGGTGCAAACATTCACTCACTGAGGAACACACGAGCGTGTGTAGAGCTAGCAACAACAACAACATAACGATGCACAATTCTAGTTGCATCTGTCCGGTATCGTTTGTGAAATCCAGGGCAACTAGTACGCAAAAAAGCGTTTATAGAAGTCCCCAAGTTGCGTTTCTATTGTTTATGGCGTTTATGGTACTGCCATTCGTGCCTGCGACTAATTTACTTTTCTACGTTGGCTTTGTAGTGGCAGAGCGCGTTTTATACATACCAAGTGTTGGTTTTTGTTTATTGCTGGGCCTCGGCGCTGGTGTCTTGACACGGCACTGGCACCACGGTGAGATAAAGAGCCGTCTGTTCCTGTTGGCTCTATTAGTGGCATTGTGTGCGATGTGCGGCTATACGCTGCGTAGAAACCTGGATTGGCGCGATGAGGAAAGTCTCTTCAGGAGCGCCTTGCATATCAACCCTCCAAAAGGTAAGTGTAAATATATTTCAGAGTATTTATGATGTCCATAAACCATTATATATCCACACAATATATATATATATCCGATTATCCTAGTATGTCTAATCTCCGTTTTAAACGGTATTGTGACCTATTTTCTTTTTTATGGCAAGGAATGTCATCTGGTACGCGATGTATTTTTTGTCGTTTCCATCAATCACTATAACAACCCGATTGTACGTTATTGGGAAAAGGACGACGACGATATTTTTATTTTGTAACACATGTTTTATCTTATTGTAGTTTTATATATACTTTAAACGTAATAATGTTAATTTAATGTTTAGCAGGTAAAAAAAAACTATTTTGGTTTCTATGATCGAGTAAGAATCGTAAGGGTTATCTTTTTCGGTACGCTATTGGCAGTCTTTGCTGACTGTTTACTGTCTATCTGTACCTTTATTTATATCTATAAGCAATGCAATTACTTTTTTAGTAACGTTTTTAGTTCATTCGAATAATTTAGTGGTTGTGAAGTTGAACACAAAACTCCTTCAAAAAATTTTAGAGCAGTGAGCAATCGGATCCACCCGCAGGTACCACTCTGGTAGCATAGAAAAATGCACCTTAATATTCTTAAAGGGCTCTTTTCTGGAATCGGAACATAAAATTTAATCTAAACGTTTCCTCGTACTGCTACTAGTTGTAAAAATATATTGAAATCTGATATATTAAAATATTAGCAGTCTGTACATCTAAAAATATTATTCTACAAATTTATCATAAATAGTCAGTTCTGAAAATTTAGCAAGAAAGGAATTTCATTGTTTTATTCAAATTTCTGAAGTTACAATTCAAAGCAGACCAGATATTCACCGTTAATCAACGTCGCTTTAAGCCACAATTTTGCGTGTTCACGGCATAATGTTGGTGCAGGCCGAGTAAACACTCGTACCTTTCTCTTAAGTTTGTTTGTAGTTGTTCCCTCGTTACGGCTCAAAACTAAGACACAATTAATTTGGTTGAGAGACAGCTACAAACTACCTGTCCACAGCGTGTTACTTCCTGTAAGTTAGAAAAGAGGTTGTAACGGCACGCCTGCTTGCTCTGAGTACCTACCTACCTACCCACTCGGGAGCTGGTAATGTATTCACTACTTCCACTCGCATTCAGACTCTTGACCTTTCCAGGACGCCATTAAACATGCATGTTCGTCCCAGGGGACGCCGCCCCGGGATTCTGATCATATCAGAAACTTTCGCGCAAAGAGAAAAGTTCTGATGGTTCTCACTTTGCCTCCCTTTATACGACGCCGACGAATGTTCTTTGACTCAATTTAGAATATTTTATTAGTAGCATTTTTTAAGTAATCATAGATGATTTATAAATCATACGTTTGATACGATGATTTATAAATTTATAAATCATATGTTCTGACCCTATTTTCATGACACACATTTACAGAAAACATAATCATGTCATAAGATTACACTGAAGGTTTACATTCAGATTTAATTTATTTAATTTTAAATTCTAATATGTATTATATCTATTAAGGTGTTTCCACCAAAAATTAATAACAAATTTAAGAAATCCGTAAGTAATTAAACCTATAAATTAATATTACATCTGTTTTATGCGTGGTTTAGTGTTTCACAATCGTCAAAAAAGTTACTAAGTAAAGCGCTTGTTTATTCTCCAAGTAACCGCAATATAAGTACAAAGTACTTATTATTTTATCAATTATTAGGAATTTTGATGTGCAAATTAACCCCAAATAAAGTAAACATACACTATAAAGTAAATTATACGTCTACATAGTCGAGGGACTTCATAAATAACATTATCAACAGGTCTCCGAAGTCAGTTTGGTAAATATATACCATTCAAAGGAAAGAAACTATAACTTATTCAGATACCACAAATAAGATAACGAAATATGCTCCCTTTGCCAGAAAAACAATATTTCACCTAAATTATGACACTTTATCGAAGGGTCTCCGATGTAAAACTACCTAACTTCTTCGAAATGGGTTTGTAAGGAAAAAATAAGGAGGCCAAGTTGCTTTTTAAAAGTTTCTATCTCAGTTCTTGTATTTTTACGAGATCCGAAATCACTTGTAAAATATTGAAAATGCCTATATCCGTAGCTGCGGGAGAACTTGCATATTTACATAAAGTTATAAAAAGTCATAGAAGACCTTATGCCACAAATAGTTTCTTGTCTCAGAAATAAATTAATTTAAATTACAAATTTAAATATGCATTAACCTTAAAATAAATGTATGGTATCAACAAATCATTAACGCTATTAACACTATAAAAATTTGGCAGTTAGTTAGTTACAGCTACTGGATTTTTAAAAACTATACATGAAAATATATGCAGCTGATACATAAAACTGACTGTACGGACAAGAACTGTTCTGCATCACCACCAAAAAGGAATTTTATGCAGTCAAAAATACATAACAAGCAAATAAGGGACATAAGACTAGTACCACTAAGTCGTTTATTAGATTTGATAAGTGCTATGATAAAAAATATTGAATATTATCTGCTCTTGTAGCCAAAAATCGGAATGTATTGGCAGAATAGTCACAACTTACTTCTGGACTTATATGTAAATATAAAAATATATGTAGTAATTAATTGATGTGTTTTTACATCACCTGAAGGTCGACTGGGAGAGAATGCCTCATGGCATTAAGTCCGCCTTTGTACAACATGTGCATTAAGGTTAAATGAATAAGTAATACGGTACTAAAGTATTAAATTAGGGTTATATTAAGGAAATATAATCAAGCAGTGCTCATGAGCCAATGTGCCATTGCCTATGCCAATAAAGCCAATGTGAAAGAAATACAGTCTGTGTTTGCATAATTTAATAGTAACAAAGTATTAAGATTTTAAACAGAAATCTTTTAAATTACTTTTTACCAAAACAAATTATACAACGAGAGTGACGTTGTCTATATAAGAATGATAGCATTAACAGTTATTATTTTGGAGACAAAGATCAATTCATGGCCAAACTTGAAAATGCTGTTGATATGGCTATGGATAGGCTGTTGTTATGATGTGATGATACATATGTAATTAAATGGTGCTCTTGTTTTGACTTTTTGTGTACATTATAATGTTTACAATAAAATTATTTCAAATACGCAGTTGCATAACACAGGCAGATATATCACACAAATTACTTGCACTTTTTATGGTAGCTAACAGTGGACAGACGAGAAGACAAGTCACAAGATGTCACTACCGCTGTCAATAAACACCTGTAACTCAAAATACATAAGTGCATTATCACCTTTTAAGTGCCTTAGCCCAAAGTTAGAGTGAAGGCCTCCTGTTACTTGACTCGCTCTGCGAAAAGCAACAATAAAGCTCTTTACGACTGAAATAATAATAAAATCTTAACTCAGATTGCAAGTTAAGTTTTTCTTTTAATATCTGGCTCTATCTGGTTCTATCATCTTTCTGATCATCGGTTCTGGCATCTTATGTTACCCATACAACAAAAGACTAAATAGCACACATATTAAATAGTATATATGTCTATTCAAAATCAAAGTCATTACTTTCCTATTTACAAAGCTTCCTGATACTGTATATAAAGTTAAGATATGCCACGTTTTATAATTCGAAAAAAAAGGGGTATATTCCCAAAATCAGTAAGCCTGAAATAGAAACTGGATTTAAAACAAATAATTTATAGTTAAAAAAAAAATTAAAAACCACGCTTTTGTAACTAGACGAACGTAAAAGTAGAAAATAATTTTCTATAAGTTAAAAAAGAAAAATCATTTTATCGTAAAAATGCGTGCGTTTTCTAGCAGTAGGTAACTATATTAAATTTCTGTTATTATTTATGTCGGTTCAACTTTAGAGGGGCACTTGGAGGTAAAACCGCTATGTAATTGAAATAATTCGAGGACGTAAAATATTAACTTTCTGATTAATTACTGTTATTCACTTCAAAAATTTACTGCTGCCTTTAGTATCGAAAACTACCCATTTCATTTTCTATTTACTATAGTATTTGTCCACCCACAGAGTTGCTTGTAAGTAATTTAATTGGAATTGGCGTACAGTAACGCTTGTTTCGATTGTATTTTAATCTGAGAAAGACCATGTTACCTCCAGTCTCCAGTGCCTACTGATTGCCCTAGAATTTATAATATTTAACGTATTTTTAATGTTATTTGATTTATTAAATTGAACAGCCTTAAGTGGCCGACAATTATAGCATAAACTGTTATTATTTCGGATTCAAAGATAACTTCATGGCAGAACTTGAAAACTTGGTACTTCGAAAAGGTTTGCGGGAAAAGTCACATTATGAACAATTTCAGTCATGTACACATAATACTTGAAATTGCATGAGCTGGTTGCTTGAAATTGCTAATTGAGAACTATACACGAATATACATGACAACAGAACTTCAAAGAAAAAGAAAACTTGAAACAAACCCTTTTTTTTTTTTTTTTTTTTTTTTAACGTGTGGAAATCCCCTCGGACCGTCACCCCTCCGGGGTTTGCGGCGGGGTGGTGTGTCGGACTCGGACCGACTAAAACCACACGGTGTGCCACTCTGCGCCTGTAACAGGAGGGATCCGGGAACAGCTGTTGTTAAGACATCCGGACCCCTCCTAGCGCCAGCCCGCTCCTGGTGCGGGCTCCGTCTCGATGTTTTCCTCTCTTTATAGGCGACGTCCGGCACACGCGGACGCCGCCCCCTCGCGGCTGGCCAAACTAATGCGGGTGGAGGGGAAACCCACCCCGTCCACCCGCGGCCACACTCAGGGCGGCATGAGGCTGTGGTAGGCGGGCCTCCGCCGCCCGGTTCGCCGGCGGCGGATCGGGTCCGAGTGGAGGTCGTCCTCCCGGGCCCTCTCCGCCGCCTCCTTCCGCGAGATTACTACCTCGCAGAAGGTTGCGACCGCGGTAAAACAACTGTCGCTACCGGCCATGGAGCGTACTACGGCCGGTAGCGAGAGATCCACTCCGATGACTGCAGTGAGGGCCCGGCGCTGCGCCGCCCATGCGGGGCAGA